CCACTGAAATCCATCACCACAATCACCGAAACCCAACCCCAATCCAACCACCAAAATCTACCCCCACCACCACCAAAATCCACCCCCAATCCAACCCCCACCATTGAAACCCACAACTCAATCTATGTCTATATATGTATATATATACCAATCTATATATATGTGTATATATATACATAGATCTATGTATTTATGATATAAAATTAAGGATAAAGCGGGAAACGAGCGAGATAGACAAAGTGAGTTTCGATTTCGTCTTCGATTTTTTCGTCTTTGGCTTCGATTTTAGAAGAGAGAAACCAGTGAGAGAGAGGATTAGACCAAGAGATAGAGGTCTTACCTTCGTCTTCGACTTCGGTTTCAGAAGAGAGAAACCAGCAAGAGAGATAGATAGAGAAAGACAGATGAAGGAAAGAGAAGAGAAGAAATAAAAAAGGCTTTTATACTTTCAACCAAAAATCTTAAATTTTGGTGTTAACAAGATTCGAAAGTATGACCTTATTAAAGGGTTGGCCTGAGTGCGCGTGTTTTTTTTTTATGTTTTCAAAAATATAATTTTTGATATTTTCATATTTTGGCATTGTTTTCAAAACGGGATAGTAAAAAAAATGAAAACACATCTCAAACGGGTTATTATTGTTTTTAGCAAAAAATGAAAAAAAAAAATACCAAACTCTACCTAAAATATCACTATATAGGCTTAAGAGTGGACCAACCTTAATCATCTAAACTTACGAGTTTTAATTGATTTATGTTATTTGGGCTTATGTAATTTAAGTCCATAATAATTTAAGTTTAGAAGCTTGTTTAATTAAATTTGGGTCAGAATTATTTAGGTTTATGAAATTTAAGTCCAAACAAATTTGATTTTGAAAACTTGTTCAATTTTATTTGGATTTATTATTTGGACTTATAAAATTTAGCTAACCCATTTTAATTTTAATAATATATTGAATTAATTTGAACCCAATTATAAACATAATTTATTTATTATTATTTTAATACTTACAAATGTGTTTAATACCCATGAGTGATATAATTGTTATGAATAACATAATATCATCGTTACTCTAAATGGTTGGTAAGAGCAAATTCCAATGGAACATACCACTGTACAAAGTTTCAATATTACATTACAAGTGCCGGAACACCCCTCCAGAGAAGTGCTTGGCCGGGGGAATCACCATTTGAATGCCTCTTTTCGCCTCCTGTGCCGGCAACGGCGTAATTAAACCACTTCCCTGGTGACCCCTTACCTCTATTCCGGCAGTGGGATGTCAGCCAGATCCTCCCTGTAAGGCACAGGCTCCAGCTCAGGCACGCTGTCGGCATCGCCTTGCCCGTGCTCCATTCTGATCTGGGCCATATCGTTCTTCGTTGGCTTACCGAACGTGACGACGGTGTCTTTCCGGAACATGAGATAGATGACAGTAAGGACATAGACAGCCATTAACGGGAATACTAGAATTCCGATGAACACATTTCCTATTTTTGGCAAACTGTTGTGAATTAGCCAGCCGACAAAGCCTGTGCTCAGGTAGTAGATGTTGATGCCAATTATTCCCAGTCCCAACAGCCAGGAGATCACGATAATCTGACATGATTAATTAAATGGGTTAAGTAAAAATTTATTAATATTTTATACAATTTCAAATTAATACGATGTCGATATACTCTTCTAATATTTCTTTTTAAGTCCATTACCTAGAAAACTTCTTGCTCTGATCAATTATTAAATTTTTGGTGCCCAAATGATAATCTAGATAGGGTAGGGTAGGGTTAGGGGGAAGTCAGCAAGTAAAATAAGGATTCAACAAATAATAGCAAATACTTATGATTTCAGGGCCCAAAGACTAGTGATAGGCCATGGTCTATATCAACATGCATACTCTATCATGGACTAAAAAAGCAGGGCAAATTGGAGAAAAAGAACAACTCACATATATGGAGTTCTTGTGTGGCCCCATCTTGGTGGCACTGCTACTGAATTTGAGCAGAGGGATTAGAGCAAATGGAAGTTCAAATGATAGTATCATCTGCAAAATCCACCAAAAAAAAATTATATTATGCATTATTTCACCATATGTTTTTTTTTTGGGTAAATAACATAAAAATTTTATGAAGGTTGATTTTAAGATACCGACCGATGCGATGATGATAAGACGGCCAGCTCCCGATGATCCACCAATGATGGAGACAACAAGACTAGGTGAGATGGCAATTAGTCTGGTCATTAAGTTCCTCATCCATTTCCTCATCTTGATGTCCAAGAAACCCTAAGAATTGTAACACCCAACCAATCAAAAAGTTAGTTTGGAAAATTAACATACGTTAAATGAAAAATACCACCACAATTTATTTATTTCTTTTGGCAACCTGCATGATATATTGTCCAGCATAAGTGCCTGTAATGGTGGAGCTTTGCCCTGAGGCTAGTAATGCAATGGCATAAACCTTAGAGCTTGACTTTCCCAACACATTCTGCAAAAACAAAAAAACATATTCATAAATATTGGTATGAAATCTTTCTCGTGCACTTTCTTTCAATTTTCTTAAATGATAGATCATTTTATATGAATTTTACTAGAACTCATCCTATATTAATATTAATAGTTCATCTACTGGTACACGATGGTGGCTGATCTAAAACTATGCTTCTATTTATAGTATTAGACTTTAAGATCTTCGATGTGTTCCAGTAATAGATTATCTCACTTCCACCAATGCTTGATCACGAACCATGTATCGATAGGAGACTAACTAAATTTTCGAGATTTATTCTAACATTGAAGAAGTTTGGTACTAGAATGAATTTAGATTGTACTGCTAAAACTTTATAGTAGTTTAGAATCTTTAAACCTTTAGAAGGAATGAGGCAGAGTTAAGATTGAGATTGTTGCATCTATCTGCATTGTCATTCGAGAGGGTTTGAGCTGAGCAAACAGTGCCCGATACAGAGACGACCGAAATATTGATTAGGAGAGCTACAAAGAGTGCAAATCCACTCTCTATCAAGAAGAATCGGCATGCATCCTGCAACAATGTGAAAGCAACAAGTGAAATTTCACATACATTCCTCACCACAAACATGTTCCCATGCAATTAGTTAATAAAATGTGGCCATGTTAATGACATGATTCTCATCATGCGACTGTAATTGTCCAAAGTTTTAATTTTGAAGAGGACCCCCAACTTCCGGGGATCTCGATGAAAAAATAAATCATAGTGACACTAGGTCTATAATTTGAGGGGTACGTTGTCATTAACCCATTTAATATTTATTTTTCCTTTTTGAGTCCATTTATGATGGTCAATTGAAATTAATACTGTTTATCATTCTCCATTGGGCTCCTAGAGATGCAAACAAATCAAATAAATGGATAGGGACACTGATGCAACTCCTTCAAGACATGAGGATAACTTATCTGTGGATGTTTTCTTTTTGAATATACAAAAAATGGTACGTGTGGGGGTGTATATATATATATTTGGTCAGTGGGGTGTATATATATTCAAAATATGATTTAGTCCTAATTTACAGATCTAATTTATAATAATTATTAGATTGACAATAGACCACATTCAACATTAGGGCTTACTACTGCTCCAACAACTAAATTAAATTAAATTTTTTCCCGACATGGGCATAATTTATGCATGGATTTTTTTTTTATTTGTTGATCTGATCACTTTTTGTCATTGAATTGATAGTGTGCACCCACTTCTTAATTGATTCAGGCTCGGTACCAATTTAATGACTGTGATGTATATAAATCAAGTGCATAAGAAATTATGTATGCATGCACACGCCCAAAACTAATGTACTCCAGAAAGCAAGACTATTATTATTGGCTTACATTGATGCCACGAACAGAATTTGGTATTTTCCTAGAGAGCACAAGAGCCGAGTGGAGGAACAGGTTATGCCTGTTGAAGAAGAAGAAATGAGTTACCTTAGTACAAACCCTAAAAAACATACTTTATTGTTAAATGACACATTGGTGCCCACTACACAGCCACACACATATATATACATAATTCACAAGGGACTATTCTTATAGAGATGAGATTCTTACGGCATGATGAGGGCGCCGAGTAGGGCAATGGCATCGCCGGTGGCTCCATTACCAGAGAGCTTGGGGACAAACATTCCCTTAAGCACATCTTTTGCTGGAGGCTTTACAAAAGCCATTTCTCCGAAAAAACATGCTGCCATGACGAACACCAACACTGCTATCAACATTTCCAGCTTCCTCACCTGGCCCCCCAAAAATACGAAATTAGCTTGTCGCTCATCAAATTCCAACAAATATGTGAAATTTTGAGCTGAAACATTGTATTTTTTTTTATCTCAAGTTTTCTTCAATTCTCGTGGTTTTTATCTTTGATACATTTATGATATTGACCAATGCACGAGTTGTGTCTAATACGTTTAAATTTTATACTATTTTCATGTTTTGTATAAATTGTGAGTTTTATGTGACTCCGACTCGTTCAAGTCATTCGAGACGATATGTTTAAGTCAACCCTAAATGAGTAGAGTTATATTGATTGAATTAGCCAATTGATCTCATTTTGCGACACCACGGCCAATATGTCTCAGAATTATTCTGAGTTGATAGGAAATACCGCAGCCACGAACTCTGATGGAGGCATTCAAAGTAAGTTGTAGGGTCATTTCAATAAATGGCCCAAGAGTGTAACTTATAATGAACCCCTTGTGCAAGTGTTATAAAACATCGATAGCAGTGGGGCCTAAACATTAATTATTTACAACGTTCATTTGAGTTTTATATTTCCTTAGACATGAAAGTATGGGTCTCCTATATATCGGGGGTTGGCTATTAAATGATTTGGAGATCCAGAAGTTCAACTTGCAAGTCTTTTTATTCATAAAGAAATATACTCTTGAGGCTGGAACTGTGTTCAACTTGTTGTATAATATCTATAATAATTAGAGACTGTCACAAGAAGATATTTGAAATCAAGCATTTTGGTGTATGTGATAAATGCTGCCTTTATTTGATAGGGGTAAAAAGTCAATTTAATAAAAATTGTGAGAACTTAAGTTCAGTTTTCAGTTTTAGGTTTACTTGCATGCTTAGTTGATTCTGGTATAATAATAATAATAATTATGATTTTTTTTTAACGTTATGGTGTTGATTTCACCAAGGAGAATAAGGACCAATCTTGGAATTTAGTCTGGACTGATCTTTTAATTTTATTTATTTTTTAAAAGTCTACAAGGACAAGTTACATAGATTTGGCTCATTAATAAGTTTGATAATATTATAAGAGGACAAGTTTACATAGATTTGAATCATTAATAATTTTGATAATATTATAAGAAGGAAGTATTTTCAAACTTTTGGTATGATAATGATTTGATATTTGTGTGTGTGTGAGAGTGAGAGAGAGAGAGGGGGGGGGGGGGCTTTTAGCTAGAAAACTTTGTTAAAGAAATAATCTTGTTAAGAACATGACAGCCTCTCAATACCCTCAGGAGAAGACTATATAATATCAAATTATAACTTTTGTTATTTTTTTTACATTTTTTATTGTAAGTTGCGATCCTAAAATGTTAGGATCACTCTCAAGTTATCACAAAAGTAATAAACTCAAAAAAAAATTGTAACTCAAACTTTAAAAATTATAAATTTTTATATTGTAAACAAACTTAAAAATTTCAAGGTACGGTATCAATTTTTTTCTGGGTGCCATAGTCTTCTTCATACACTTATTGGTAGTCCTTCTCTATTTGATCAGGTACAAATTAGATTAATAATTGTCAAGAACCTATAGATATTTTGGATTGGAAGGTTCTAGAAAAGTACAAGTACAAAAAGACAGAAACACACCAAGGACATCTATGGAAGGCATTCGATGATAATATGAAGAAGTTACGTTGTTGACAGACGAAAACAATAGTACTCTAACAATAGAAAGGAAAAGGAACAATGAAAATGAAATCATCTTCTCTATTATTACGTTAATAACAACAAAGCAGGCAAGAAAAGACGCCGAGAGCATCAAGAATCTGTCAGTGTGTAGGATAAGCACTAGCAACCAAATATTTATATATCTAATACATGACCAAAAAATCCGTACTGGTGATGAAATATAAAGGGGCTTACTAAAATAGAGAATTTAGTGAGACGCAAATAATAATAATAAGAAAAGGGTTCTGTCATTGCACAGTTTAGAAAGAGTCGTGTGTACGTAATCCTATACCCACATAACGCATGCATAAATTGTATTAATTCAGTTAAATCAAGAAAACTTTTTTTTGAAAAAAAAAATCGGGGTACCTTTCACTATTATTTTTTACTACACAATGATATATCCGGCTTATTTTGGTAAAAACACTTTACTAGTCATAATTCTATGATATAATAATTTGCTTTTGTCAGTATACTTTCCATTTTTAAATACATAGAAGTCGTGTTTTTTTTATAACTGGATGCTTATGTAACCCCAATGTATTGTTTTATGAGCTTGTCAATGTAGTGGTTGTAATGCAGCCATTTCACATAAAATAAGAATGGGCATGTGTGCCTGCTTGTACATAACAAAGATATTTTACTCGAGAAAGAGAGAGTGGTGGTTGTGCTATCTATTATTGATAAAATAACTGGAAAGAAATTATAACAAACTTACGCCATATTTTTGCAGGCCAAGCAGTAAGAGAGTACTCAAACCAGTGGTTAGAACTCCAACCCAAAGTGGGATGTGTAACAATATATTTAGTGCAAAGGCTGTCCCAATCACTGCCACAAAGTAAAAAGTATAATTAACACAAAGTTAAGAGTGTCAATCGTCTCGTGTTCGTGGGACTTACATACCATGTTATCCATGTCGTGTTCGTGTCAAAACTCACCAAAAAAAAATTTATCTAATGTATTTTGAGTATTAAACATTAATCTAAATTATTTATTATGCGTATTTAATAATCGTGTCAATTTTATAATCATTCGTGTCTAGTTCATATCGAATTTGTATCAATAGATCAGAACTGACACCCGTAACACAAGTAAAATATAGCCCTCACTGTGATATGTGATTGAATTCCAAATATATATAACGCAGCATTAAGTTTGTTTTATTGTAATTTTAATGTTAAAAATTCGAATCATAGAAACCGTCAATTCGCATACGGGGATAAGATTGCAACACTTCTTAAACTTTGCAGTGGGACTTGCCTTCGGGAATATCAGCTGCTATGACGGCAATCTCAGCCAGTATCCATAGGCAGTATTTCACGTATTTAGGGTACTCAGCCTTGCATAATTCTGCTAGGTGTTTGCCTGCCAACCCAAATAAATGAAGTTATAAATATCTATCTATATGATAGTTTTTGAGACAAAAATAACTATAACCATTGATTTCAATGTGAGTCCCAATATTTATTGAGACCCACTACATATTCGATAGTTGTGATTATCGAGTTTATTTTTTAAATTCATATACCATTAATACTTGTGAGCCTTACCAGTGGTTACACCAAGATTAGCTGCTAGTGACTGAATAATGAGAGCAAAGATCAACCCAATAAGGATCACCCACAATAGCTGAACAGAGCAAAACCTAGCACTGGTTAGTTTTTTTCTCTCTCTCTTCCATGATTTTATTTTAGGAAAATACTATGTAATTAAAATTTGCAACCCAAATTTACATCCTAAATGAATAAAGACCATTGGATGAGCGTGTCTCATCAACTTTTTTAAATGGAAACCTCTCATCCAATAGTTCTTATTGATTTAGGACGCAAATTTAGATTGTAAATTTGGGTTACATAGCATTGCTCTTTATTTTATTTAATTTTCCTTATTTATAGGAGTAAATTACATACCTCATATCCGTGGTTAGCTCCTGCTTGGAGATCTGTTTCCACTGTGGCATGATACCATATGATATTGTTGGAGTCAATGACTAAATGAGACATAGAGAGAGAGAGAGAGAGAGAGAGAGAGACTTACAGTTCCCAGGATCAAGATAAGCCAAGGAAACAAGGAAACCAGGACCAACGTATGATAGAAAGTTTTTCCATCCAGGTTTCTACTTATTGACAGAGAAATAAAAGGTACCAAGTTTAAGAAAATATGAACTTAGAGAAGTTTGCTTAGCATAAAGGAAGGCATGCAAGAGAGAGAGAGAGAGAGAAAGAGAGAGACCTGGTGCTTTTGATCTTCATGATCAGAGTCGTCGCTGGTCAGAGTAATGGACGGTGAAACTACAGTATTTGCGACCACATCAAAGGATACGATTCGGTTGCTGCTCCCTCCATTTCCTTGCTGTTGCTGCTGAATGCTCCCCATTTCTCTCTCTCTCTCTCTCTTGATCGACTTAACACTCTCGTTCACTTGTGTCCTCCATTATTTATAATGCAGATTGGACGGCAAAATATACTTATAGTCTTTCTCATACACTCAAATGACTTATGCTATGGAAAGAGAGACGTGTCAATATCTTCCCACAAATGCCAAAAGTTGCATAATCATAATATATTGTAAAATTTTTACCCATTCAATATTTTCTACTTCCATGATGCATTGACCTTTTTTTTTTCATTTTAATTCGAGATCCAATTCATGGAAACTAAACCTAGCTTCTCTTCTCATTGGACTTGAACTAATCCCAATAATTTAAATAATAGAGCTGAATTTAGTAAAGCATATAAGAACTTCGACATCAATTGCATCACATTTTTACATAAAAATATATGTATAATAAAGTACAATACAATTGAAGTCTCAAAATATATAAAAAAATGACTTTATTTTTTTGCGGTTGAGATCTCTTTAAATTTATTTTAAAGTTAATTCGATGGTTAATATTAACACCCCAAATTTAATAGAAAAAATAAATATTTAAATGTGTGTTTGAAGTGACTTTTTAAAATTATTTTCAAATTTTAAAAGATAAACAAAATGATTTTTTTTTACGGATGAGATCTCTTTAAATTTTATTTTAAAATAAATCTGCAGGCTAATATTAACACCCTAAATTTAATAGAAAAAATAGGTCCCTAAGGATATGTTTGGAGTAACTTTTTAAAAGTGTTTTTAGAACTTATAAGAACATCTCCAACCTTGAGTTAAATGTAGACTAAAATTTAAATTTGAATTAAAATAACCCAACAAATTTCTCCTACTTTGGACTCAAACCTTACTAAATCAAAACAAAATTTATTTTGAACTCAAATTAAAGAAAAGTCAAATTCTATACCAAATTTTTAATGATAATTTTTTAACCTATTCAAAACTAAAAGATTTTTTCAACGACTTACTCTTTGCTCCTTATTGCCTTTCTCTACTATATTGCTTCCATCACCTACCACCACCGAAAGTTTTCATAAATCATTTGAAGGCATGTAGGTAAGTTTTTTCGTATTCATCTTCCATCTTCTTGATTTCTTGTATTTTTCAAAACTTTAATCTTATCTATCTTTCATACCATAAAACCCCAAAGTCTACCCATCAAATTTTTCTTTAATTTTTTCAAGTTAAACATTATCAGTAATATAATTTCAAATTACTAATTCTTTCTAAAATTTTAAACCCTTGCCACCCACAAATTCAGAATATTCGTCATTTTATTTATTCAATCTTCTATTTTTGTTAAAAAAAAAACGTTCTTTAGACCAGACCCATGTCAAAATAGTTATATTTTTTTCTTTTTTTTTTCTTTATTTGGATTGATAAAAAATTATAAGAGATTAAAACAATCTTAGAATTTTAGAGGGATTTCTTTATTCCCATGTAGAGTTGTGTACATATTCATTTTTTTAATTACCCATTTGTTGGGAGAGATAAAAATTTCATTTATTTTAGCAAATATCATGATTTGAATGACACAAAAAAAAATTAGTTTGGAAAAATAAGTGAATTTTTAAAATATTTGAGTTTTTTCATTAGAGTACTTTATATTAAATCAAGATTTTTACTTGAATTTAGACTCAAATTTGAATTTAAATTTGAGTCATAGTTGGATGTGTTTTAACTACTCATGAGTACTTTAAAAAAAATAGTATTTAAAACCGCTCAATCACCACCATTACCACTATCACCACCTCCACCACCATCACCATCACCACCACCACCACCACCATCACCATCACCACCACCCCACCACTACAACTACCTACACCACTGCCACCACCCCACCACCACCTCTGCTGCCACCCCAGCATCGTCTTTGCCACAACAACCACCACAATCATTGCCACCACCATTATTGCCTCCACCCCACCGCCCCACCACAACAATCACCACCACCATCGTTGCCACCACCCTACCACCACTTAAACAGTTCCACTATTACCCCTATAACCACCACCCCCACGACCATAACCATCATCGTCGCCGTGGCCACCACACCAGCGCCACTACCCCACCACCACCACCCGCCGTCACCCACTATCTCTGCCAACCACTATCATCCACACCTACCACCACCAATCAGTACCACCCGTCATCACCCACTATTGCTGCCACCCATTGTCACTCACCCCCCACTATACCTACTACCACCACAACCATCGTTATTCGCCATCACCCATCATACTGTCATCCAGAAACACCCGTCATCACCCACAATCACCATTACTGTTGCCACCTATTGTTGTTACCACTACCACGGTTGTCACCATACACCATAATCATCACTGTCTCCCGCCACCACTACTATCGCTCACCACCACTCACCCTTACTACGATCAATACTTAATTTTTTTTCTCTCTCTTCTATGTATGTGATTTGATTTTGAGTGAATACAAATATACTTATTGTTGGCTATTTTTTTTTTATTTTTTCGTGCCTTCAAACACGAGTAATAATTAGAACATATATATCAGACCTAAATCAGCTTCGACATTAATATATCTAAATCCAAATATGTGGTATGCTATAGAAGACATGAATTCAAATTACCTAAAAACACCTTTATAAGGTATTTGACTTATAATTTGGAAACCAGACATTGAAAACAATGATAGTAAATATTGGCTGAATTTAAGGTCCGAAGTTCGACTATTACAAGGGAACTCTAATTTTAATTTATCCAATTGAGTGCTTCGTGGATGATTGCACACTTTTTTTTTTTGTTGTTTAACGGTCAATGGTGTTCAGGTCAGTTTACGCGCATCTTANTTGTGCTTCGTGGATGATTGCACACTTCTTTTTTTTTGTTGTTTAACGGTCAATGGTGTTCAGGTCAGTTTACGCGCATCTTAACTCATCTCTTCTCTGGTTTAGTCAAAAATAGGTCATCCACGCCGAAACTAGTGTATTCGATCGTGAGAGATAAATACCTCATGACCTAACCCAAGAGATTATCATGCTTTAAACTAAAGATATTAGGGTTTACAGTTCGTTTTTATTACCACTTAANATTCGATCGTGAGAGATAAATACCTCATGACCTAACCCAAGAGATTATCATGCTTTAAACTAAAGATATTAGGGTTTACAGTTCGTTTTTATTACCACTTAAACTACACCTTAAGATTGACGATTGCACACTTTTCAGAGTACGAGTTGTAGCCACGACTCAAAAAGACATATGCAATAAAAATTAATATTTTTCTACTGCAGGAAAAAGGGATGACCTTTTTTATTTTACGACATGTTGCTGTGTAGCTTAGTCCTTCACTAAATATCATATAGTATGGAAATTGAGCCTTAAGGTGTCTCCTCGAGGAAGGGCAAAAATATATGCAGCCAAAAGTGGTTAGCTGATAGCACCTACTCTGTTAATTTTACATCAGAAAAATTCCCTGGCTATCATTCATCCCTTTTTGCCTTTTGTCCCACCGGTCCATTCAGTACAATTTTTTTTTATCCTTGCCATGCAACTCTTTACCTTAGCCTTCAAGTATGAAAAATGCATGTAGTTTTAAAACTTTGGTTAGATTACACTGACATTTCTTAAGTTTTGAAGACGAAAAATATTATTTGTACTTAATTTAGAGATTTAATTTAGAAATTTAATTGATTGTAGTTGTTCGATTAGAAGTGGGGCACTATCTAATATAAGAAATCACAACTAATCTAATGGCTGCAATAAATTAGGTCATTCAATTACGTCCTCAAATTAGGTCATTCAATTACGTCCTCAAATTAGGTCTCTATAATATTGCTCTTTGNAACTAATCTAATGGCTGCAATAAATTAGGTCATTCAATTACGTCCTCAAATTAGGTCTCTATAATATTGCTCTTTAATGACTTTATATCGTGATCCTATGATGTTATAATGATGTTAGGCAATTTACATGTTGTTTTCTTTGTGTTCCATAAAAAAATGACACATCTACAGAATTAAAAAAAAAAATTACATATTAACACAAATGGGGCAACACTCAAAAACTTAAAAGTANGTTGTTTTCTTTGTGTTCCATAAAAAAATGACACATCTACAGAATTAAAAAAAAAAAAAATTACATATTAACACAAATGGGGCAACACTCAAAAACTTAAAAGTGTGTGGTCATTTTTGAAATGCTAATGAATCTCCATGTGATTTTCTGAAAATTCTAAGGATTTCTCATTTGAGAGGGGGGACCACATACAAACCAGGGACCATTATGTACCCTGTCATTTTCAATTTATCCTCTATATCTCTTTCATTTCAATTTTTTTCAGTACTATCGAGTTGGTCCCTTGAATTGTTATCATCAGTCCTAGTCCACAATTGCTAGCTAGAGTCACTGGCAGACTTTGTTGCTTGATTTTGGACAGCTTAATTTTTAAAATATTGTTACAATTTGACAAATTGACAAGTTTTAAGTAGCATTTAGAATGATTTATTACTGCAAATCAGTTCGCAGCGTAGTCCATAAATCGATGAGATTGACATAAGGGCGGTTTGGATCGGTTAAATAGGTTGACTTTTTTGGAGCCACTTTCATATACATAGGTTTTAAAACACTCATGTTCAATTAGAAACGACGAAACAAAATGAACTCATCGAACCCCCTAACAGAAGATTTGATGGGCCGGGGCCTAAAAAAATGCATTTTTTTTCGTTTTGATACTTTTTCATGGCTGAATAACTTCACCATCTAAAGTAATAATTGATTTATGTCAGGTCTGGCTTAATCCAAGTTACTATTGTCATATGATCAGTTTGGAACTTTCTTTTTTTGGGAAAATTAAATTAATAATGGTCTAATTACATGATTAATGATAATTAGACCATGTTTTGATATTTCCTAGTTAATTTTAGGTTTCTAGTACTATTTAAATTCTTGTAAGCCTTAGGACATGGCATTTTGATGAATAATATTACATAGGAGACTTTTCTCTCTTTTTCCCAA